TGTAGTTAAAGCAGGATGTGTGATGTGCTGTCTGGCTGGGCAGCTGTCACAGCTGTGCGCCCCAGACCGAGGTGTGTTGATGGGGCAGAAGATGTGTCTGCTGATGGCTGCTGCTGCCTCTCTGGAGATCTGCAGGAGCTCTGATCACACTGAGCAACAGGTGGATCACCCACTCGTTTTTAGCAGTGCATCATTTCCACCTGATTAAACAATATCAAGTAGGCAAGAGGCATTTTTCTTGCTTTTTAAAGACACGATGGAGCCTGAAGTATGAAACTTGACACTGTACAAGTGTTTGAAATATGGACTGAATTTGTATGTTTAAATGCATGATCATTTCAAGGGTTTTGTAAGTAAAATTCCTTTTTGCTTTCTGAAGCTACAAACACTCCACATCAGTGGTTTTTCAACCAGGTGCAGTGGCTCACTAGTGGGCCTTAGTCATTTCCGCAACATTTCTGAGTCCAAGGCCTTCCATTGTCCACAACACTATTCAAAGGCCCTTCACTCCTAGTCTCTTTGAATGAAATTTGAGGATTACAGAAGTTGAACATTCTTAAAGGGATTGTTCACCCAAAAATAAATGAACACAAAAGAAGATGTTTTGAAGAATGTTGGTAACCAAACAGTTGCTGATAGCCATTGGCTTCCATAGTATTTTTTTCCCTCCATACTATGAATGTCAGTGGCTACCAGCAACTGTTTGGTTACCAACATTCTTCAAAACATCTTTGTGTTCAACAGAAAAAAGAAACTCTTTTTTTTTTACCATTGACTTTTCCAGTTGTTTGTGATGTACAGGAAAAGGGATAAAGAAAAGGATATTTACAAAAAACTGTATGTAAATAATACAAATAATACATGTAAATGAATATAGAAATATTTAAGGATTTTAAAATAATATTTTAATTTTGCCTAATGTTAAAAGTGTGATTTCTAGGCCTGGACAAATCACACTTTTAACATTAGGCAAAATTAAAATATTATTTTAAAATCCTTAAATATTTCTATATTCATTTACATGTATTATTTGTAATTCTAACAAAAAAATGAGTCTTGATTATTTTAACATTATTGACAGCCCTAGAATTGAATGAAAACAAGCATCATTTCAGGCAGAAGTACAAATGCAAATCAAAGCCCATGTAGGGGACCTTGGAGTTGGAAAGTTTTGAGAAACACTACTCCACATGTTCTCTGACCTCAGTTTTTCCTTGTTACCATGACTAACCAGCAGAGAGTGCAGTGTAGAATATCAGCTGTGCTTTCAGACTGAGCTCCGGACCCAGACTCTAGAGCACATTGAACTCTGTAAAGAGATCTGGACGACCATCAAAGCATTCTATTATAAATAATTAGTTTAAAATGCAGATTATACATGTTTGTCCAGAATGACAGGGATCGTAAGCATCTTTTTGGCACATTCTTTCCTCATTAGGCACTTCTTCTAAAGACAAAACAGACACATTATTGCTGCTCTATGAGTTATAAGCCCGGGCCAAATGAAATGATCCAAAGCTTGAATCTGTGCTCGAATCAGTTTTGGAACTGGATTCTGTTGAGACCAAGCTGTTAGAAATGATTGCATGTCAGCTTCTAGAACCATGACCCCCATTTTAAAGAATTACATATTTTAATAATTTATGGATGGTGAAATTCTGACTGAATGATTGAATATACACTACCATTTCAAAGTTTGGGGTTAAGATTCTTCTTGTCTTTTTTTTAATTTCCTGAATTAAACCGAATACTTTAATGCAGCAAGGGTGTGTTATATTGATCAAAATTGTAAGGACTTTTAAATGTTACAAAAGATTATTTCAAGTAAATGCTGTTCTTTTGACCTTCTTATTCATCAGAGAATCCTGAAAAAATATCACGGTTTCTATAAAAATATTAAGCAGCATGACTGTTTTCAACATTGATAATGATTCTTGGGCAAATCTTACTGACCCCAAACTTTGGAATGGTAGTGTATGAAATGACATTATAAGCTCTGATGGTCCTGTACTTTGTGTCTACAGTCCTGGCAATGGAACCACCAGCCCATTTCCCTGTTGTGTAAGAAAGCACTGAGGATCGCCGTGTCTCTGCACAGGAAACAGCCACAGGTCGACCTCACGCGCAGCAGGTCAGTCTAGCCGAGCATTTGTTACCCACGCAATGAATGTACCACACTGATAGATAACAAAAGACACCAAAATGTTCCTCATATGACACACACCTTATACATGTGTGCATGTCACAGTAACTGTTTACACAGCCTGATTCAGCTGACCCTGCCGAGCGGTGTGTCTGAGGTGCAGTCCTGTGTGTTGGAGGAAGTGTGGGGCTACTATGAGGAAGCTCTGTCCATCATAGCAACCGCAGAGAGTTGGTTACGGTGACTCAGCAGCCGTCACACACAACCTGCTGCAGCTCAGCCCCGCAATTATCCCCATATTTGAAAGTATCTCCTCTTTCTGTCAATGGGCTTTTAGTTATGCCTCAGTTCGCAGATGCTCCATTCACCAGCTTCTTCCTGCCAATTTAGATGCTAATTTGAAAATATCGCCTGTGTCCTTTATCTTGAACTAGCATTGCAGAAAACTTGCATAAGCATTAGGATGCTATTCTGAACTCGTGACCTTCATGACACCGATATAAAATTGCATTATATAAGTTTGCAACTATTATTACAGCATCCATTCCTCCATGATATCACACACGGACGTCTTGCTTTCTCACACAGCCAGAGGACTTTCCAGAACAGGAGATCCTGTGGCTGCTGACCCGAGCGTGGAATACAGGAATCCTGCTCTACAGTCTGGCCCAGTATCCCGAGGCCGAGAGGTCTTCCTGAAGCTCCTGGGCTCCCTGCAGGACAGCTATCAGACTCGGGTAACGCTGCAGGATTACAGCTGTTTGAGAGCTCGACCAAAGGCACCAGATTTCATTTTCATGTTTCATATTCTCCTCGCCTCAAGTCAGGTGCGCAAGCTGCTTTTTTCGTCACCTCAGTAGGAGGCTTAATTAGAGCAGTAGGGTTGGTTACAGCTATGTGGGTAGGTAGTTAAAGCTACATACAGTAGGGAGGTTTAGTTCAACTAGTAGATTAAATGTCATTTGGCAAGCATTAATTCAGCATCCCGAGTTCTAAGAATTCACATGATAATTTTCATTAAAAACATTTTGTTCATGTTGTTTGGTAAAAGAAAACGTGGCAAGGTGTGAATAAAATACATGAAATGTGTCTCCCCAGATGGCAGGTCTGTACAGTGAGGTGTTGGACAGGCTGGATAAAGCAAAGAAGAATCTCATTATTGAAGAATGAATGATGGCGGCTTCAGTCGCAGATGGAGATCTCAGGTCTAATGGCACGTGTTTAATATGTAGTGTGAATTTCCTTGCATGTTTTTGAGAAGCTAGGAGATGTACAATGCATCTGAGGGTTTGTTCATACAGTTATGAAATGATTCAAAAAATAGAATGTCTTGTATTCATTTAATCTGAAATATTTTTTGGCAGTATTATTTTATTACCTGTCATCGGGTTATCTGTTTGAGCTTTTCTCGGTCGACTAGTTCAAAACATCTGCATTGCGATACAAAACAAATAAAAATGCATGCATTGAAATCGTAACAGAGTCACATAGTTTATTTCCAAACAAACTCTTGTCCAGTCCAAAAAATATATATAATAATAATAAAATAATAATAATAATTGGTAAGACTGTGTTCTCTCCTGACCAGGATATAAAAGAGCAGTTTTCCTTGTGTCCTGATGGGTTGCACCACCTGTAATCAGGGGGAGGACACTACTGTACAATCAAAGGGTTCAAGTGTGCTATCACATCAAAAACTCAATCACTCAAAAAGACAAATCAACCATTCCCTCCCCATTTCACGCTCATGCCCTCTGGAGCAGAGACCCTCATTAGTACACCAGAACTGCTCTGATTCAATCCACTTCATTAAAAATATAGTACAATGAATCAAAATTCTTTGGGCATCAACGGTGCGAAGTCAGCTGCTTTTCCGCTCGTCCCCTCAGAGGACCAGATCTACGCTAAAAGGAATAATTTATGCTCCTGGTTTACTTTAATATCACTCCATCGGTTACTGTCTGCATGTCATATATATATATATATTTGTATTTTTACATTTGTTTTTCATCTATACACTCAGACAAGTTCCACAAGATATCACAAGTAGACAGGCCGTATTGTAGGGAAGCTGGTTCCCGACTCACTAAAAAATGTTTCTGATAGGCAGCTGAAGATTTTTTTCTCTAGAGAAATACCAACGTTACGGCACATTTGTATGGACATTAATCTCAGAATAAAATAAAAGTTTACTTACCTGACATTTGTGATTTATAAAACATGTTTGTCCCAGTTGTATCACACATGCATGAAGCACAAGTGAGGGGGATATTTACACTTTACAGCTATCATACCCATTAAAACAGTCTGTAAGCAGTTTATAAATGGCTCTGTTCCCTTCGATTATTCCCTGAACTCTGGTTTTGACACAGGTATGACAGCTGATTTCACAGAGACGCTTGGCAGGTGAGCACACCTGTTTAGAAAATGCCTGCGGGGCGGGGGAAGAGAGTGGGCCCAGGAACTTCCCTTGCTTTCTGCGGGATCCAGACTTCTCAATACAGAAACAAAGAATCATCATGAGGGAACGAAGAGATCGAAGGAAGTACTGTTCTTCTGTATCCCGTTCTGTTGTGATCCTGTTCTCTCCGGTTGAACACAAGGGCGACCACAGACGTAGTGCTTTCAAAGTATTTCAAATAAAAAAGGAATAAATATCTAGAATACACAAGTATGATATATCAGCATTTCTGGGTGTTCAGTTAGAGGAGAGAAAATCACCCCTTTGAGTTCATACTCGCTCTATTCCATCACAATATGACTGAGGCCTTTTAGTAGCATTTAAACAAATAAGGAAAAAAAAAAAAAGAGTAATTATCGATCAGATTCCGGAGTTCACCCCGGCTTAAGGCTCAACACAGCGGAGTAAACATCAGTCCGGAAATAAAGGAGTAGAAGTAGAAGAAAAAAATCGTTTAAAAGCTGTCATTACAAAGAACAAATTTAATCAAACCATCGTCGAGTTCTGGGGAAAACGGTCAATTTCAGGCTCCACTAACGCTTTAATATCAAGAAGGACATCCAATACAATTATTATCTTGATTCTACCCGTTTTAAGGCTGCGCTCCTGGGCAGCTAACAGGACAGTACCTTGTTACCGTTCAGTCTGAAGAGAATGTAGTCATGGAAGGCAGAGGAAGTGCAAGTGGGCTGTCTGCTTTTCAACAACTCCAATGGCGGCCGAAATTGGATTTTGCTTAAGACAAAAAAAGGATTTCACAGAGGTAAGACACTGAAGTCTATTGCACTCACAACTTAGGCCTCCAATAGGATGACAGGAAACTCATAATAAGAACTAAAATCGAGTCTCCCTCTAAGCACTGATAGGCTGAATATTGTGTCGTTCCCCCCCCCACACGATCAACAGGAATTTTACATAAGCGTTTATTCATAGTAAGGCAGTTTGGTGGTCTGCAGAGAGCCCAGTTACACCTCTTTACCCCCATCTTTAATACAGAGCAGCTAAAACCACAAGAAAGGAAGAACACAAAACCCAAAGACAAGAAATGAAATCGAACAGCCCTCCAAATAGACAATTCTAGTGAAGTGTAAAATGTGTACCATATAATTTCGTATTGTGTAGTAAAATCTCTCCGTAGGATTTTTATTTTCCATGTGATTTCAGTAATATAAATGTATAGGCTCAAACTCCATTTTGTTCTGCCTCTGAACGTGTTGCCATACAAACGGCCAGGCAGCCCATCAAATAAATTGAGCTGGTTTATGAGTACTGAAGATCACAATCAGTTTTGAAGTTTATCCGTTATAAACACGAGCAGTGACGGTACCATCAGCAGGCTTGAACTGTATCTAGTCCTCATAGAAAACCTTGCACAGCATCCTCAAATGTCTTTTTCCATGAAATCGAATGAACGTATACAAGGTTCCCGCTCGTGCCACCATCTCCAACTCCCCGGCTCCCCGTTCTCGCTTCGTTAAGACATTCTCATCTTCAAGTCCATCCGAAATGCACAAAATAATTCGCTCAGATTTCCCTTTTTTGTTTTACGTGACAAAAAAGTTCTTTAGGAATGGCATTTCCAATCTTGAATGGAATTGCTGAGAAACTCATGCAGGGGTGTGTACAGTCACAGTAATGGTGATAAGACTTCTTTCAATTGAGGGTAACATAATGATGACACCAAAACTTGATATGAAACATATCAGTGAAAGGGAAGGAAAGGTGTCAGGTGGGAGTGGGGGTCAGGTGGGGGGCTCCGTGGAGGCGGCGAGTTCAGAGCTTCTCTGCGGACGGGATCCAGATGTAAGGGCCTGACTGCTCTTCGATGATCAGCTTGATTTTATTAAAGATCTCATCTAGTGAGTCACCCTGGACTATGGCTGTAGAAAGACAGAGAGAGCAAAAGTCATACTACTGTACACTGTTAAACAGTAACAGAGGTGATGGACTAAAAGATTTCCTCTGGATACAGTTAAGAGAAATCACATGATGGTGTGGTGTGGGGAGGGGCGTTACCTGTGAAATACTCTCCAAACTCTTGTTCGAGCTTCACTGCCTTATCAAATACTTTATTAGCTTGCTCATATGTCTGCCTCTTATTCATTTCCCTGATAAGCACAAAGTACATTACGTATTTCACAATGCATAAGCACATACTGCAGTTCAGAAAAACACTACCATTCAAACGTTTGGGGTTGTGAGGAATTCGTTTTTGAATTCATTACTCCAGTCTTTAGTGTCACATGATCCTTCAGAAATCTAATATTCTGATTTGGTGCTCAAGAAACATTTCTTCTTATAAATACTGAAACCAGTTGTGCTGCTTTTTGTGAAAACCAGTATTTTTTAGTTATATATTTCTATTTCAAATTCTATCAAATTTAACACATTTTTGCTGAATAAACTATATAAAATAAAAACTGGCACCAAGCTTTTAAACGGTAGTGTATACATTTAATTTACAAAATATTAAACTTACATCAGGGCCTCCACAGATTTTGGCTTGATGAAAATGGCGATTGGATAGAGCTGTGCTTGCTGCAGTCGCTTTATGGCATTCCCAGACACGTCCAGGATACAGTGTTTTCCCTACAAGAGGATTAAAAAAAAAACCTTTCATCCTGTGTCACACTTTCACTGCACACAGTAATTGCCACAGGGAAAATATTGAAATTTTAAACAGGAGTTCAGAATCAGATCCTCTGGCATGTTTACACTAGGGAGTCACTGACCCTTTCAGCCACTGCCCGAACAGACAGGATGCTGGTCCCGTACAGATTCTCATTGAACTGGCCGGCCTCGATAAATTTGTTGTCCTGAATGTCCTTCTCCATTTGCTCCCTTGAAGCCACAAAATGGTAGTCCTGCCCGTCCATCTCATTCTCTCGCTGAGGACGAGTTGTATCTGAAGAAACGTGTGTATGTCTTGCTTTACTTTTACAAGTACTGCCAAAACATTTGATGATAAAGATGTTCTGCATGTAGCCAGCATGGCCTTTTCTTATTACACTCACGTGGAACGCAGGATCCAAACTTGTGAGGGAACTCTGAGATCAAGTCATCGTTTACTCTGTCCTTCATTGGACCCAAGATAATTACAGGCCTTGTGTAATGGACTGAAAAGAAAGCCAGATCAATATTGGTCAAAAACTTCAAGCCTTGAGAATAATTTCTTGGCTTTCCTCATGGAGGACATACCATGGAAAACAGGATTTTCCTTTCTTTTTTTAAATACAAGCTCCCTCCCCAGTCCACCAAGACCGTTTACAAAAACTACACCACAAAAACGACTAATTTACAAATGGCCACATTAACGGATGATGTTCATATTTGCATATCAGCTATTGTTTATTCAACACCTTGACCCACCCTAATGAAAGACAGCTTAAACTATGGCACATACACTTCATGTTAAGAAGTAAAGCCATCATAAAAGAGGTTATTTACATATAGAAATCCTCAAGGTACAGCAGCAAAAACAGCCTGTTTAATTGTAAAGGTTAGTTCACACTGCTACAGCAAACACAAACACACCCAACTTGTTGTGTATACTGTATACTTGAATAGAGAAATGTAGACTGTAGCTTGACCACACAAAAACTAGATCATAACTGAGCATGGTCAACGCTGCAACTAATCCAAAAAACATAACCAATGGAATTTGTTGTGTGTTGGCATGTGGGCAGTGAAAACTAGGATGAAGGGTCAGAGTGAGACTGGGATGGAAAACTAAATTACAATCATTTCAAGCATTATAAATGAACTTCAAGTAAAAACAACAACAACTGTAGAATGTTGTTTGTGTGTATGAATACTTACTCTCCTGTCGAATTACTGGCTCATATGATAGAATTGTGTCTTCTTGACCCTCTGCATAATGAGAAAAGATCAAATTATCCACATGAAACATGAAGGTTTCATTTATCACTATTTAATACAGAGACAATACACTTGAATTACCACTGGAATGAACGTGTAGATGACATGACCATAGCTATGGACCAGTTTTGTTTTATTTTTTTTAAAGCACTTAAAGGCTACTAGCATGACACTGAACAAATGGAATGCTGCAGACCTTTGCAGACTACACTCAAAGTCCCTTTAAGACAAGTCATGTCACTCGGCAGCCATCTTTGAAATGCCTCTCGGGCATGCAAGTGCAGCTCCTATCTCTTTGATTGGGGAAACATCAAATTCTTCAAAACTGTTCGCCAAGCTTGCAATTAAATTTCATATTTGAAATCACCAATGAAATCTGACAACAACTGTCTCATAAATGTGGTTTAATATGCTCCAATAGCATAAAAAAAGCTTATTTTTCAAGCTAGACCAGCCAATGTGCATGTGCAGTGCTAAGCGCACGTCTCCAGAAAGCTGACTGTTTCTATAGCAACCGGGACTTCTAACAGCAGCCACAGTGACGCAATTACTTTACTGAATAGCAATTGGCTCTCTTACTCAGAAGGCGGGGCTTCCTTCAATAGAGACGCCATATTGAGAGTTGCATTTTTCCCCCATTTAAAACTATACAAGTGACACGTCTTAGGTATTCTATAGTCTTTGCTACACTGGGACAGATTTAATGCAGTAAGCACAAGGTAATGGATGTTTCGAGCTACTTACTGGAGCTGCTTTCGCTGTCACTCGTGTTGGACGTCAAGCATTCTGTGGATATAAGAGGAGGGAAGTTTAGACATTTTTGCCTATATGCAAGATTAATAGCATATCCAGCACAGCTCAGAATGAAACTATACACCCTCCCGTACCATCATACCAAGAATAGTAATGACTGAGTGAGGAGAGGAAAACAAACAGAGAACACTTTTGGGCACTTAAATGGCTGCCGTTTCCTTAGGAGGGAAATGGTAGGATGAGGCAGCAATAGGAAAGTAAGTATTTCCTTTTCCTATGACCCTAATGATCTTAGATTCCATGCTGAGCGTTTCCTATGACCTTGCCAGTGTTCAGTTCATCAGACAGTGATACTGCTCCTCATGCCAAAGTAAACAAGCCAGTGTTGGGTTTCTTACAGGAATCAAATAACAAACATCCCTTAGAGACAGTGACAACATGATAGTGCTGGGATACTTAAAACATTAAACATGCACTCAATCCTGCTCAATATGAGCTGGCTCTGAAGACACTATGGCACCTGGAGAGGTCTGCCTTGGATTCACTCGCCCTTCAGTGTATCATATGCAGTGTTGGTCAGTAACGCGTTACTGTAATTTGATACCTTTTTTTAGTAATGGAGTAATTTAACACGTTATAATTTTCAAAATAGTAATTAGAGTATAGTTACAAGCCGAGGTCTCTATATGTTACTGCCGCGTTACATTGCTGGCAGAATGCAGTGATTTCTAATCTAGATTGTAAAAAGGATGTAGCACACGCACGGTCGAGTCAAGTGCCAGTGGATTAGTCTAGAGACCTGCTCTCCCGCGAGACCCAACACAACAGAGTGCGGCGCGGGACAAGACTTGATAGGCGAGTGCAGAGACTCGTGTGTATGCGGGATGCGGGAGATTAAAATGATTCACGGGACTCCCGCAAAATAGAAATATCTAACCATAAAATATCTAAAACAAATAAATTGTTATTCATCTATTGCACAAAAGCAACATGAACTAATATAAAATATAAACGAGTAACAGGTGCAAGCATATGCAGTTTCTATTTAGGCTATAACACGTGCTTGCAGCATTGAGCAATGCAGTGCTGAAATTTGCGTGCTCACGAATCCTCTCATTATAACACACGAATTGTAGGCATTATGAACGATTCATTATGCATATATTTATTGTGTTATAACAGAGATTTGTGAGATTGCGATGAACTGAGATGTCTTTTAGAGATTATAAATGCAGCGCTCTTTGCTGGCATTCTGCCATGCCAAAACCATGCACGCAGCAGCGCTTGCTTTAGTTAAAAATAACAGTGTTCAGTGAATGTTGATGCTTTAATAACAAATACTTATCGAGAGCGTGTATGCTGGGATTTCATGAATTTCATGGAGAAAAAAGTAACGTAACTAGTAGTGTAACTAATTACTTTTGAAATAAAGTAATCAGAACAGTAACGTGATTACTTTTAAAAGCAGTAATCAGTAATTTAATTACATTTTCAGAGTAACTTGCCCAACACTGATCATATGGCAATTTGATCTTTGATATAAGAATATTTGTGTGAATGATTTGAGAGTTTCAAGTCAATATGAAATCAAAAACTGAGCTTGCCTGAATTTACCACATCTTTAAGCCTACTGTATCATATAAGATACACAAATTTATAAGGCCTCTAAATTATCAACATTATTAAAACTTTTTACTGAAAAAACAACAACTGTTGTACACAATCTACTACAGGTACATGTGTTCTGTCATCTAACTAATAGTTCTTAAGCAAGTAAAAGGCCTTTTAGTATCATCTAAACACCTCTTCAGGTCATCGTTTGTGTGAAATCTTTACTGATTTTTTATAAAGTAAACTTAAGAAAAATTGTTATATTGTTAGTAATTATTCAAAATTAACATTTACCGGACAGAAGCAACTTAAGTTTACTTGATTATCCATACATCATTTTTTAGAAAAAAACATGTTGAAAAGTGAGTATCATATATATCATATACGATACATCAGGCTTTTGAGGAACATTTATTTGTATATTTTTCAAACATTGTACTGTACTGCATTATATGTTTTACAACACAATAAATACTTAAGAGCTTTGATCATAAATAGCAAATATCATCCTAATAACATATATGGTTATTTCTCATTTGTGCCAAATTGCATATTTTCCTCCTTGAGTGTGAGCTCCATATTCTCACTATATCATACTATATGAGCCATTAAAGCCTGATGTATCTAATATGACATTAAACAAAAAACATGTGCCTATTTTTAAGAATTTTTTTGGTCTCAAACTGTTTACAAGGTTAAATCTATCAAAATGTAATAACTTGTTCTTACTCTGTAATTACTTTGTTTTCATTTAGGCTATACAGATTATTGGATAATGTTAACCAAATGACAATACTCATTTAAAGGCACAATATGTAATTTTCGACACTAGAGGGCACGTATTCAAAATAAACAAATAGACAAAGGCGTAGTTTGATGACGCCGTGACTGAGTGTGGAATCATGGGAGTTGCCGTCTTCATCCCCACAGCCGATGCAATCCGAAGGGACCCGGGCAGAAATCATGTTTATTGATGAGCTAATGATTTTTTAATGTAGTAGAATGAAGCAGGGTGAGGCTGAAAGCCGTCGAAGCGAAACGAGGCCGAACGAGCGTGACACATGGCTCGAAAGCAGCGGAGCTTTTATTATGCTACAGTCGACCGCTTCCTCTCCTTCCGGTCGCAGCGCTGTTTTATCATACTAGATACATTTGAAAGTTCTGTTATAATGCTACTCTGTGCGGTCGTCACCGGTCTATTAAAACGCACAACATATTAAAGCGTCTTTGGTGTTTCCATGTTTTCTACAAAACAAAACCGAAGGAAATCGAAGGGTTATGACGTCATTGGCAGGCGACACTATGGACACACTCCGTGTCACTAGTTAAAATTGCTTATTTCTCTGGATTTAAACATTCTTCGAAACATTTGGGATAATGCATGTACACAAGTCAGCAAAATATATAACACTGTTCTAGTGGTTTTTGGATATTTTAATAAAAATCTTACATATTGTGCCTTTACGCATAGTTTTAGCAAACTCGCATTAGTCCTGGCTCCATATTGGTATGTTACACTCACTTTTCACCTTCTAATCAACATTTTTAGTTGCTAAACATCTAGTTTTACTAAAATGAGTTGCAAACAGCAAATAATGTGTACTTTTTTAAAAGCAAATGACTCTTAAGGTAGAGAGGAGATTCAGTGAGAAAGAGAGAGGGAGGAACAGAAAGAAAGAATAAAATGTGTGTGGTGTGTGGCACAGCCGGTTCAGTTAGTTCAGGTGACAGCTGCTTGACAAGAGGAACCACACACTTACTCAAACTCTTTGATCCATAAAAGTCATCGCTTAACCCTGGGAAGTCCTGAGCGTCCCGACAGGTGAAAGCAAGAACAAAGAGAGAGCAGAAAGGAAGAAGAAAGAGGTTAGTGAGAGGCTGGGAGAAGAGAGGTGTTGCACTCTCGAGGGATGAAGGAATACTAACATCAGCTTGCTGTGCGATGAAAGATCTGGGTTGTCCATTTGTAATTTAAGTACAGGGGCTTCCCATGCATATTCATCTGAAACAAAATTAAATTGCAAATGCTGAAGGGAACAGCTCTAACAATGATGGATGTTTGAGCACAGCATTTGAGTGTTAGTGCAGCCTCACACCTGTGAAAAGTGCTAAGTTCCCCCTCAGAGCAAGACAAAGGCCAGAGAGGACCCGATTGGCTGTTTCCTCACAGAAAGGTCAAGAGCCAATCAGAAGCCATCTCTAGAGTGAGTGAGAGTGACAGGATGAAGCATGAAGGACAGCGTCACAGCCCTTGTCACACGCTCATACTCACGTTCAGTCTCCACCAACTCCTGCACTATATTCTCCTTGCTCTTGTAAAACGGGAACTTGCGTGATAGGTTGAAGCTTTTTTTGCGCTTTACTTTGACTGGCTGAGTGGAGACGAGTCGATGGTGGGGGAATGGCAATGAGGAATGAAAAACAAAAAAACAGAATGGGTTTCAATGTAATTCACAGCACGCATGCAAAAATATAACCAAAGATGACATGGTTGCACAAACATGGGGGATAATGAATGTAAACCATTTGGATGCTACATTCAGATTTTTTTTTTTAAAGTTTGTTTTAATAAAGTTTTAACTGTGAATGTAATAGAGAGAATACATTAATTGAACAATGAAAGATGTGAAACATCTTGTCTTGATTGCACAAATTGCAGAAGAAAATCATGGGTGTCAATGGCAAATAAATAAAGGTGAAGTGCACAATTATTTTTGTGAAAATATTTTTTTGACTTCCGGTTAAATGTGCAGAGTCAACTACACTACCATTCAAAAGTTTGGGCTCAGAAAGGTTTTATGATCCTTCAGAAATCATTTTAATATACTGATTTGGTGCTCAAGAAACATTTCTTATTATCAATGTTGAAATCAGTTGTGGAAACAGTCATAATTTTTTCCCCCCAGGATTCTTTGAATAAAAAGTTTAAAAGAACAGCATTTATTTAAAATGGAAAACTTTAATACAATTATAAATGTCTTTACTGCAATTTTAATGTGTCCTTTTTGAATAAAAGTATTAATTTCTTAAAACATTTTTTGAATGGTAGTGTACAATTTTCTGACACTGTTCACATTGAAAACATTGCTGTTTGTTTGAGCATCCCGACCTGTCCATTACACACTTAAAAAGTTTAGTTCACCCAAAAATAAAATCTGGTCATCATTTACTCACCCTTATGTCGTTCATTCTGCCAAACATCTCCTTTTGTGTTCCATGAAAGAAAGAAAATCACACATGTTTTGAATAACATGAAGGTAAATGACAACTGTAATTTTTGGGTGAACTATCCTTTTAAAGTACAATGAAGTGTTTCCTCAATCCTGGTTCTGGAGGGCCCCCAACAGCCAATTCAGGTCATAGAGCACTTTACTAATGAGCAGAGGAGTTGAATCAGGAGTGTGGTGAGGGAAACATCAGAAATGTGAAGTATTGGGGGGCTTTTAGGACCAGGATTGAGGAGCATTGATCTAACCATCATAGCTGATTATGATGGCACAGGGCATGTTCGTAATTTTACACTTTTGTTTGTGTGTCGCTGTGAGAAATGAGATGCTCAGTAACAGGAGCCTCCAGGATACTATGAGAAGCCACCAATTCCTACGAGTCCTTCACAGGAGGAGGATGACTCACTCACCCTGTTGGACTCAATCATGCCCGTCCTTGCATGGAACTTGACTGTTTTTAACCGTGCACGCTCTTTCTTTTCCACCCTGTGGATCAAAAAATAAAAATGTATGATTGGCAATGAACACCCCATTACTATAGGGTAAATGTTGTAATTCAATCTGGGCTTGTTGGCAGTACTATACCTTTTCTTGCTTGGTATAACCCCAATTTGCTCACTCTCCCCATGGGGTGTAACCAGCCGTGCCTGCCACCACTCATCATCAGAGGCATTGATGACATGCAGGATGTCCCCATAGGAGAAACTCAGGCCCTGGCTAGGGAGGCAACTGTCCCTGGTCCTGTCGTAGTCAAAAAGAGCCCTGGGAAAACCAAACGAAACAACACATACATCAACAGTGCGTTAGAAGAGTGGGTGTTCAGGTTTGATTAAAGGATGGGTGTGGGGATACACATACAGAGACAAAATTACATCACTGGACATCTGCACCTTTTTTTTTAAATTTGTTTTGCAGATACTTTCTCACTAAAAGCAACTTCCAAAACACTTCCTACCACGGTTGTGACGTTGAGGAAATGTTCCCAGCGGTTAATCGACATGTGACAACACCGATAATACCGGTATCACCATGGGGGCAGGGCCGTTTCCTCTTTTCCTTCGCTTTTAAATAGCTTGTAAAAGCAGCGTGCACATTTTACTTTCACTTTCAAATAGCGGCAATTTGGCGTAAAGCAATTGTTAGTTTGAATTTTCCCTCTTTTCCTCGCTTTCCTTCGCTTTTATATAGCTTAAAAGCACCGTGCGCATTTTACTTTCATTTACTTTGAATTAGCGGCAATTCGGCGTCAATTGCTTGAATGCAACAACAAAATACAACGTCAAACTCACTTTAGCCTATATATAAAACATAGAACTTTTATCAACAAAACGAATAAAAATCCACCATGCTACAGGGCAGCCTATGCCTAATATAAAATAACAAATAACTTACAAAGTTTAAATAGGTAGCCTATACAAAACTGGAAATAAGTAGAAACGTGTAATATATAACCAAATAAATAAGAAACGTAGAAAGCTAATTAGCAAAATGACAGTTTGAAGTTTAAATAAAGTAAAAATCAGCCAACACTGTGGAACCAATTAAATAAGAAACGAATGTTTAAAAAAAACTTCCAAAATACTGCCAAACAGACGCTTTTGCATTTCGTTTAGAAACTAAATCATCCGCCATCGTCTTCTCTGTCTCACCCCACTCTTCTTGTCAGTCAGCTCGACTCACTCTACTCACTGGCTAAATTAAATCTGATCTGTGATGCAAATGTCGTTCGGCACACTGCATTGAGCAGCCGCGTTCCATTTTTAATTGTAGTGTCTGTTCTTTTACTGAAATAAATTATTTTTATTACTATAACAAAAATCAAAACGACGGTTGGGGTCGATGCCGAGGTGGGCAAGTGACGTAACCGGTGTTGCAGCTTAACAACGGTAACACCTTCAGCACCGTCCATTGCGGCAAGCCTACTTCCTACTAAAGGCACAGCAACCAATTTATAAATATTTAAGTACAACCTCACACTTTTTTCTTTTTTTCAAATTTAAAGCACTGTTCAAAAGTTCAGAGTCAATTTTTTTAATGGTTCTGAAAGTCTCATGTTCACTAAGGCTGCATCTATTTAAAAAAAACAAAAAAAAAACAGTAAAAACAGTAATACTGTGAAATTTTATTACAATTTAAAAAAACTATTTTAATATTTTTAAAATTTAATTTATTCTTGTGATGGCAAAGCTGGATTTTCAGCAGCCATTACTCAGTCTTCAGAGTCACCTGATCCTTCAGAAATCATTCTAATATACTTATTTAAAGCAGCTGTGTTGCTTAATATTTTTGTGGAAACATTTTATGGAAACAGTGATACATTTTATATGATTCTTTGATGGATAGAAAGTACAAAACAAAACAGCATTTATTTGAAATCAAAATCTTTTGTAAAATTATAAATGACATTTTAAGAATACTTTTCCCATCAACTGGTCAAAATGCACAACACCGCTGTATGCTGCATGAAAGATGTGTGTGCACTTGATGTAAACAAGCGCGGACGAGAAGCACCTGGCGGAACATGTGAGAGACGCGCTGGATGAAAGCGCACTTTCACTCTCTGACAGCAGATGGCGCTAAACTGCAGAAATAATAATAATAATAATAATAATAATAATTCATTTAAATGCAGCCGTTACCCCGGAAGCCCTGTAAACAAAGCAGCTGCTCTAACTTCTGTTTCTGAATCATGTTTAAATGATTTAAACAGCCATTCAGATTTGTGTATTTGCTATGATGTTCATCACAGCGTCAAATACTTAAATATTTAGACTTAATAGGTTATTTTCAAACTTTTTTTTACATTTTAATCTGGACTACAACATGCCCTAGATATTGTTTGAAAGTGTTTTGATTCTTTATTGTTCGGTCACACTTTACATTAGGGCTTCATTAGTTAACATTAGTTAATTCATTAGTTAACAAACTGCCAATGAAAAATTCTTCTGAACATTCATTAATCTTAGGTATTCCAATATTTAATCCAATATTTAATAACAGGTTGTTAAAATCGAAAGTTGCAGCTGTGGTGTTATTTAATGAGCTAACATGAACTAAGACTTGTATTTTTTTTAACAAAGATTAATAACTTATGTAGCAAATGTAGCTATTGCTCATTGTGAATGTTAATGCATTAACTAAGGTTAACTAATGTCTTATTGTAAAGTGATACCTATTGGTCTTTATAGTTCTTTTGCACTTTAATCTGTGTAAAACTTTTAACTTTATATATTTTTCTGTATTGCTTTATTGCATTTAAATGTTCAGTTATTTCTGTTGTAAGAAAAAAGTTATTAAACCTGTTATACTGTATTATGACAGCACTTTTTTTTAACTAAATTTCAATATTGTGATAATACTGTATACCGTGATAAAAGCATTAGCAATTAATCGCAACATGAAAATTTGATACCGGCATATCCCCATGTTCCATGAACATATTTTGTAAATTTCCTACCAAAAATATATTAAAACTTAATTTTTGATTAGTAATATGCATTGCTAAGAACTTAATTTGGACAACTTTAAAGGCGATTTTCTCAATATTTAGATTTTTTTGCACCGTCAGATTCCAGATATTCAAATAGTTGTATCTCGGCCAAATATTGTCCTATCCTAACAAACCATACATCAAAAAAAAAAATGGAAAAGCTTATTTATTCAGCTTTCAGATTATGTATAAATCTCAATTTCGAAAAATTGACACTTACGACTGGTTTTGTGGTCCAGGGTCACAAATGTCTTTGCGTTTTGATCAACTGAATGCATCCTTGCTGAATAAAAGCAAATCTATTGGGCAAATGCCCCCCCCCCCACTCCATTTTTCTTATCGCTCCTACATCTCTGCACAGTCAGTCCCCTGGATCAACCTGTGGTTAAGCACTCAAGGGCACAATAGTGATAGAAGATCCTAGTAACATCATGAGAGAAAAACCAGATGGTAGATGACACGGAGTTGAGAAACACAGTCAGGCATTGTGTTCAAAGCTGAATGTTTTTATCTTGTCAGACAGGTAAATACAAAAGAAAGGAGGAAAACCAGTGGAGCAGGTCTTCCTGTTTTTCTACATACCTCTCTCCTAGGACACACTAATTACTTGCCCACCGAGACATGCACACACGTACACACACACACACACACACACACACACAATTTGCTACATAGCTAAATTGAGGACAACATCAGGCGTCTGTTTTAAGATGGAGTAGTGCAGGGTGGAATCAGTACTGACTGACATATGCCTGTACCATTCTGACACACTTTTATCTCATCACTGCATTCATAGGAATGTGAAAACGCCTTGAGATCTCACACTTAACATTAACACGTGGTCAGCTGACTCATGAACCCACAGCAGCTAAACACTGCGTTAAGCACAGCTCACCTTAGGTGCAAGCTATTGTCAGAAAAAGGCCAGACAATCATTAGGCAGAATATATATTCATTATAACTAGACTTACTATTTAATATGAAAAGTTAACACTACTGTCACGGCACTGTTGCCATTTCTTTAGAAAATATCAACTGCTTTTTAATATGAAATCTTGTCATTAAAGGGGTCATATGATGCTTTTTTTAAAGATCATTATTTTGTGTATTTGGTGTATGCTTTAATGTTCACAAAACACATTATTTTTCAAATACTGTACATTATTGTAGGTCCTCTATGCCTCGCCTCTCTCAAACGCTTCGTTTTCTACAAAGTCCCTCCTTCCGACAAGCGCAGTCTGCTCTGATTGGCCAGCTGACCCAGTGCATTGTGATTGGCCGAACACCGCAAGCACTCGTTGGAAATGTAACGCCCCTTACCATAATCGTGAGCTTCATCTTTCAAAATAAATGTAAAGACAGAGCCCGAAAGGGGAACAGAGTTGCGTGACAGACACGGTGATGAAGCTGGTATGTGTTTGCAGTACACAAGCCACGGTTAAGACAGCTGACTCCAATGTGATGTGACCCCTCTCTCTCACTCGTTCTTTCGCTCTCTCTCTCTCTCTCTCTCGTTGTCTCGCTCGCACACACACACACAATGCGCAAAACTCTGCATTTGAACAGTCAATAGCAAATACTTAAAACTAATAACAAAACAGTAGCTGATTCAGAAGCGCCAGATTGTCATAGCAAAGTCAGAATTACCTCCTCTCCTAGGTTCACGAAACGGTCGTCCATAAAATGCATTGCTGTTCTGTTGTAAGTAATCTTAAAGATTTCTAAACGCATCTACTTTCGGAAGGCAAAATAAAGTGCTTTTGCTTTCGCCTAGAAACACACAGCGTCTCCCTGACATGGCTGCTTCAACACTAACTGCGGTTACTGAAACCATGCCTTCTTTCTTTGCCTGCACATTTGGGCGGCATTATGCAAATATTTCCACATAGTGAGGTAGATATGTGGGGGCGTGTTAGAACGAGCCGTTTTAGGGGGGCGTGGCAGAGCCTTGATTATTTTAACTAGAATTTGACTTATATTGACTGTTTGATCGACATGAAGATTCCTGATTTAAAAAGCACTTATTGAGATATCTATATAATATCAGTAAAACTGAATTAAGGAATTCAAGGATATAGAGGATACCTGACGTAGAGGGAGCGTTTCTCACTGGTGCGGAGGGAGCCGGAGCCAGAGCTCATGCTGCTGTTCATCATCTGCTCCCTCAAGTCGTGGATCTTGGACTCAAAACGACTGTATTCTGGAAAGAGACAAGGCACATAATCAGTCAGCAACTCCTATATTTACAGTGACATTCCGGGCTTTGCTCCAGGTTTTATGAGTGGAGGTGCTTGTAGCGCAATGCAGTGAAGGAAAGCTCAGCAGCTTATTGAGAACTGATTAATGACCTGGAGAACAGATGGATATTAATCATGTATCTGCACGAGCTATACACTAATATCTCCTGCCAGATAATTAATTATGCATATTAATTAAGCAGAACATGCACTATTCAGTATAAAGGAATGAAAACCTCCAACAAACGTCGGGACCATAATCATTTTTCACAGTGAACAAGGCTCTCATTTTAGGGAGCAGCACTGAAGCATGATGGCCGATTGTTCAGCGGTCTTTTAATTAAACATGTACACCTCTGCTGCAGTGTGGTCGGGCAACTCATAAGCTTAGCAACCAAATTACACACCGAAATGCACGGGCAAACAAGGATAATGCATAGCCAAGGAAATACTATTGTTTTCTTACGCACTGGGATTTACCTTGCAAGTCCAATATAGATCATCTATACCAAAGACTTTATGATTTTTAACATGCTCCGTAACCTTGTATCCAAGGATCAAAAGTCAACCTTCTGACGTTCTGAGCTTACAAAAAACAGAACCGGAGGCAGGAATTCCAATTTTTATGAGAATATGAGAACTTGAAAACTCATAATGGCAGCCAGCAACTCCAAGTCTAAAGCTCAACGCAAAGTCGAAACTTAGAATTCATTGTCAGCAGAAACTGCGCCTGCAGGGAGCTCTTCTGTAATCGCCCTGTCTATCACAAAAGGGATACCAACATGCTGGATTGACAGGGCAAGGTAAAGTAACCTGACACCACCTGCCTGTAACCAGAGAATCACCCCAGCGGAGAGGTGGAAGGCTCGAAAAACTTTTTGAAAAAACAATCATAGCAAAAAAGAGAAGCTAAATGTAGAGAGAACCTCGTTTGCGGTATAAAGCTTAGTATTATAATCAGACATCAGTAGCTTCAAAATCCACTGGACTCATCTTGTACAGAATAAAGCAGAAAGTAATTCACCTCACTGGTCAGACACTCTACAGGTAATATAATACATATGTCATATATGTATTATATTACCTGTAGAGTGTCTGACCAGTGAGGTGAATTACTTTCTGCTTTATTCTGTACAAGATGAGTGACACAGCATGACACAGCTGGGTCCTCTCAGTCAGTGGTGGACGAAGTACACAAATCAAGTACTTGAGTAAAAGTACAGATCCGTATAATAAAATATTACTCCAGTAAAAATACTCAGTTTTCAATTTTACTCAAGTGAAAGAACAAAAGTACTTGATTTTTTATGTACTAAGTAAAAAGTACAGATAGATGAATATTTATTTTGCAGTTTTGTATAAGGCTACTTTTATCATTTAATCTTATATTAGCATATATTTTTAGGTACACTCCGATCAGGATTTTTGCAGCCGATATGGAGTACTGATGTCTTGTCATGGTGATCGACCGATACCTATTCTGATGCTTCAAGCTTTATATAGATGGTTTCAATGGGCGCACGCGCCTGGCCCGAGGTTAACTTCCGGTCTGTGTTTGTTTATCAGTCTGGCTATGGCACCGGCTACAAATGCAGTTAAAGTTAAGGTGATGAGTAGACTGAAGTTGGGTTCAGGTGGTTGTGCTGTGGGATGTGTTTCCCATACATTTATTTATTTGTGGCGCTCACCACAATATCAAAACTGACGGATTTTCCAAAAGGCTTGGTTGAATAAACATTAGCACGTACTGCACGTTTAAATATCAAAACGAGGTGCAGGTGTTTTTATATCACTGTATTTCTGAAGGAAGACTATCTTTAGAAAATTTTCGATGTCATTTTCATTTTATCTTGCATGTTATATGCCTGATAAAGCAGCGTTTGTGAGCTCAGCGCTGCTTTGTGTACAGCTGTTACTGGGGAAACCTCTGTTTCTGTTCCATCCTCCACGCTGTGACAACTCACAAAAGACTATTTTTAACCAAGCAGCACGGAGAGCCGCTTCAGAAACGTGCCGTGGCTGGCTGATAAACACAAGCAATGACTAGAGCAGCCGCGATCAGCTCCAGTGGACGTGGAGCCGTAACAGTAGGGCTGTGCGATTAATCGAAATTGTATCGAAATCGCGATTTGAGACGTTGCGATTTCCTAATCACAAAGCCTGCGATATGGACGCGATATATAACTTTGTTCCAGAGCATATGCATGACTGCCAGCCTTGAGTGGCAGTCTTACTAACCAATAGAGTGAGGGCACCTCCGTTCTCCCCAATCAGCACTGCTCTAACCAACTGAGTAAACACCCACCATAAAAATTTTTGAAAAAAGAACGCGGGAGAAAGACAGAGTGGGATTATGGCGTCTACTGGGTCAGATCGATAGTTAGGCAAATTAAAACTAAAGAAAAACGTATGCAAGGTAAGCTTCGAAATGACAGACAACGAACAAAAAAGGTCATTTCCAAGAGCTGCGTCACAGCGCATATCAAAAGCTCCATTCTCGGTTCTGTTTTCAGTACTGAAGAATAAAAGATACATTCTTAGATGTTTTTGTTAGTACGTGAACGTTATCTTGCACATTTTATCTCCCCAACAGATTAATTTGAATAAGTTTATGATGCATGTTCGCTATTCCCAATTCAGAAGAGCGTACACACAGCTTGTGTCTCTGAATGCTTCTCATACTCGCTCCTCTCTGCCCCACGCGGCGCGAATCCCGCGTCACGGACGAGACGTTCATGCTTGCCACACTCACGCAGCCCGTCTCGTAATGCTCGTTTATACTCGCACCCAGCTCCGCACCGCACGTCTCCACGAACGCATCTGGCAGTATGGATGAGGCTTGACGCACGCACGCAAATTTAAAACGAATGTAAATTCAGTCTAACTGCTTGCTAATTTCACTTGGATGAAATGAAACATTCAGCACATTTTCCACTTGCTCTTAAAATCCCAAATACTTAAAAT